TCTGGAATATGACAAGAGGTTTTTCTTTTTTTGTAATACATGTGCCTCACTGAGAAAATGAGAACGCTAAATTATTAATTCCAGACCATCCTTTTGCATGAAAATTATGCACTGTACATTCCTAAATTTATCTGAAACAGTGAACCTTTGGGGAGATGTTTTTGGAACTGCCTGTCTACAGAATAACCTCAAAAGAAGCTTTTTACTTAACTTGCCAGTACATTTATTTGCACGTACTTTAAAGCGCTGGTGTGGATGGAATGGGTGGAGCAGATTATACATACGGTCATTTTGCTGTCCACTGACTTGCATTCATCAGAACAGAAGTAAGGGAAGGAGGAGACCTTTGTAGCTAAGATGTAAGCAGCTTTGTCATAATCATAGATTAGTTTGTAACTTCGCATTTCTGAATTGTTGGAATGGCCATCCTCCCAGGAAAGTCAAATCATGACATGGCCACCGCAACCCGTTTCATTACTACTTCGCTCCTGTGGTCATTGTTCAAACCACTTGCTATTTGCTTAGCACAGAAGATTTAATATTGCCAAGCCGTTCCCATGGCCATTTTGCCTTTGTGGAGTTGGGTCTGTCTTAGTCCTTGCAGACAGCACAGTTTCCCTCACAAACTTTGCACAAGTTTAGGCAATAAATACATTTGCTGAGGTTTGGTTTCTTGTGAATGCCACTCACTTCTGTGTCCTTCTCTTATCCCTCCCTTCAAGGTATTTTTGGTCCTCGTTACTGGGTCTGCTTGCCATTGATACTAAATTAGAGTATAAAATCATTTGTGTATCTGAAATAGTCGCAAAAGCAAGCTTAAAGCTCTCAAAGAATTGCAAGCCAGCACCCTTCCACTTGGTTGTACTTCATACATTCCCGGTATGAAGAAGCTTCAGTAAGTGCTTTAAAAGTGCTGGGGATTTTACATATACTGAAGTCAGTTCAAAGTTGTGGTTTCTGTAGCAGCTATGGCTGTGCCACATTTCCTATACGTACTAAGGCGCAAAGGTTGGCATCTCTACAGTAAGACCGAATTCGGATATGCATGGATGGTGGTAGCTTCTGATGCGTTCCACATCGTCGGATTTTGACGTTCATGACTTCTGTGTCAAGTTTTCACATATACAGCAGTGACAGTCCTTATCTTTAAAATAAATAAATACTTTCATCTAAGGCAGCTGAAGGGGGGGGTCACCTTCCATCGGAGTTGGCAGGCAGACAGAAATGAGAAGGCATCTCCGAGTGGCGACTTTCCAAATGGGCTGTTTCAGAATGCAGTGCCTTCTCATATGAGTTAGCAGCCGAAAATCTTGTTGGTCCTCTGTGATAGTTTTCCTCAGTCAAGTGATTTCCAGGCTGGTGAAGTGACTGGTGCTTCTTCCTGTGGTTTGTTCCAACTTGTAGCCCCAACATCCTGGGCTACCTGGAGCGGTAGGCTCCAGCTGCAGTGAGTTTGCAAGTGGCAGAACAAAGTAATGAAAAATTATAATATTCGACATGCAGGGAGACAAATCCTGCTATCATCTGCCAGTTATTTGTGTTCTTAAGTAAAGAACTAGAGGAGAGCAAAAGGAGAGCTTCTTTCTAAGTAGTAAATTTACTCTTTCATTCTATCATGTCTTTTTTCTTAGAAAAATAAAATACTGATTCTTCTGCAGTTTTCTTTAGCAGAAGGGAAAGAATGTTGCAATTATGTGAGAGGTGGAATTGTATTATTTTAAATAAGTGTTGGAAGCTTCCTATGATTTGATTTTAATTAAATATTGCATCTCAGCCGTGCTCTTTACTAATCAGACCACTTCTCTCCTCATTAGAGTGCTAGAAACTTTAATATGCCTAAGCCTCCCATCTGCCTTCAGCCCTACATGTTTCTCAGTGGTAGTAAGACATATGTTTCGTGTGTTATCACTAAACTGTTAATGCTGATATTCCAATGATGATTGACCTCTGCTCTTGAAATGGATCTTTCCACTCAGGCAGATAACGGTTGTGGGTGTAGGACTGTAGGGCAAATAACTTCTCGTAGTTTAGTAAAAGGAGAAAGCGACTGTTTTTCTTAAATGTTTAGTACCTGGTTTTTTATGCCCTTGGTTTGTATTCTGTTGGGTTTTACCTTTGGAATATATTCCTGTGTTAGTTTGTGAATCTGTATCAGGGGGTTCTGATGGATATATTTGAAGTTGGCTACCTATGTGTAATTGTGTGACTTTAAAAACCAACCAACCAACCCACCCCAATCCTTTAATTAGGTGCTATGTAAGTTAGAATTTTCTTTATGGAAAGCTACTCTGAATAATGAGAACAGTGGATACAACACGTGCAGCTAGAAGGAGATTTGTTCTTTAAACATGCTAAAGCATTAGATAGAAATTTAGTAGTTAGTTTTTTCTGTGTCCTGTAATCTAGGGATTTTAGACTACGTATCTTCCTGTGATGTATAAACAGCCGTGCCAGTTGTCATGGTGATTTTTCAGTTGGAGAAAGAGTTTTGCCTTAATTTAGCGAGTTTGTTCTGCCAGAGAAGTCTGAGTTCTGCATCGAGCATTGGATACTCTGAGACTTAACTTTTTTTTTTCCTAAAGAAGCTTTCTTAAGTTTGCTGTTACCACTACGCAGTCATCATAGTGTTCAGCAGAATCTATACTCAGCTTTGTGTTTGTTGAGCTCCGTGTAATGGCAACCCATTTGTGATATGCTTAGGAATAAAACTAGTTAGCCAATTCTTTCTGCTTGTTCTTGGCCAGCTTAAAATCAAGTGAGAAATGATTTATTCCTTATTCCTATTCCTTTGGCACATTTTGTAATGTTTTTATGTCCCTGCATTTTTTAAAGTACTTCCTTGCGATTCTCCTAAAAAACGTAATTCCTCAGCCCTTTTTTTTTGTCCCACACAGACTTACTTTCACGTAGATCACTAAATGTATTCACTTGTTAAAACAGTTACAAGCACCAAGGTTAACTCCATACAGAGCAAGACCCGTAGGTTCTTACGGATAATTAGCCCGTGTGCCTGGCAAGGGTGTTCATATGGAGCTATAGAATAAAGTCAGTGCAAAGTACTTCTGAAAAAGCGGGGAAGATGGACTTTTTTTCCTAACACAGAACTTAATTATGTACCCTTGAGTAAATTAGCATGTCAAGAATAACTTCATGGGTTCTAAAATACAAATTTTAATTCAAGAAGCCAGATCAGTGTGTTTTGTCTGATACATGGCTACCAAGCTGGGGCCTTCTCAGTAAGACATCTGTTTAAATTCTCACTCAAAATGGTGCTGTGCTTGGAAAAGACACTTGAAAAATGAGTAACGTATACTGACAAATTGGCATGGCTGTCCTTGGGGAAGTCTTCTAAGTGTTTTTGTTTGGTTTTTTTTTTCCTGAAGCACACTCATGTACCATCTTTTCAGGGAAAGAAGTCCTTACAAAATCTGAACAATATCACAAGTCTGAAAAATGTCTTCTCTCTGAAATTGAATGCATCTTTGATGGGGGCGGGGTAGGAGGGAATGGGCAGCTTTTTAATTATTCTCATGCTGTTAAAATCTTAACAACTTTAACTTTGAATGTGATTCTGTTGTCTTTTTAAGATGGTCCAGCTGAAGCATCAGTTACAAATGGAGGCACTGCTGCTGTCACAGCACTGAATGATGACCTGGATATCTTTGGCCCAATGATCTCTAATCCTTTACCAGCAGCTGCTGTACCTCCTGCTCAGGTAAAATTTACTTAGTTACCTGCGTGCGTAAATACATGCATGCGCGTGCATATTTTCCTTCGAGGAATTGTTCATTCACGCAGAAGGAAGGCATACTTCGCAACACTCATGGCTGGAGACTCTTTAGCTGTAATGGCTGTATTTTTCTCACCTGTTCAAGCTTCCATGCTGCTTGGATATAGAATTAGGAGACAGTGTGATCTTCCCTTCTGAATCCCCCTGGTTATCCAGCTAACTTGGATTCTGTCTTAGCCTGGTGATGGAAGTCATGTTTTCTTTTAATTTGTATTCTTTTGTCTTGTTCTTTTTTTTGATAGGTATTGCTGAATATATTTTTACTTGATGTTCTCAGGTTTTTGGGCTTTAAGTTACACTTTTTAAGGACCTCTTACTGCTTTGTGATGCTGATATTTAGGAAAGGCTACAGCAGATGCTTCTGTCTTAAGAGCTGCTAAAAATTTGGGGTTTCTAGCTTCATACTCAAAATCAAGAATGGATATATAGAAGGACTAATACTGCTTCCTGGGCTGATCTGGTTTTGTCTCATCTTGGAACTTGTCTATCTGTCTGTCTTCAAGGAAGGGTAGCACCTGGCCCACTCCCTCTCTTACAGCCACGGTAGTTTGGAAGACGCCCCACTGCCATGCCTGTGGTAGCTGAGAAAGGCAGCTTTGGGATGCACAAAGAAAATCCTTCAAGTTGCAGCTTCTTCAAGCTCTAGCTCCTTTGAGCCTCAGAGAACAAGGTGTTGGTGCTGAACATGGCTGGTGCAGATCAGAATGCACGTGTGCAGGCTTCCTTACCCAGGCTGGCTTCTGAGAGGGAGGCTTTGGGGGGGTACTCGGCCAACCACCTCACCTGTGGGGCCCTTTTAAGGTAATTTAGAGGCTTATTTTTGCAGAAGGCCTCCTGTCTCACTCAGCTGAACCGGAAAGAACTGTATATATCCTTGAATTCATAGTTTGGGACCTGTGTTCTGTACTTATTTCTCCTTATCCAGTAGTTTTCATAATATATAAAATGGAAGGGATGATGATGGAAAGCAATTCTGATTGAACTGGCATATCATAATTTTGTTTCCGAATGTTCTGTTGATCCTTGTGGTCACCTCAAAGCATATCCATGTTGTTCAGCAGATTTGATTGTAATTTTTATTCTTTATCCTCTACTCTCCCATCCTGTACTTGTTGCTGAGGGCTGACTTTGTGCAACATATCAGGTAGGATTTTAGAGACTGAAACCACCTTTCTTTTTAAACATAAAACTACAGATAGAGCAAGCTTCCCACCGTGCCTTAAGCCACCTTAAGTGCAAATGGTGAGGGCAATGAGCCGTATACATGCATTTAGGCTTGAATGTGTTAGCTAAGATTGCAAAGGAAAGTGGTGGTATAGATTTTCTTGGCTCTTGTGGAAGTCTTTGTTCAAAGTACCAGAAAAAACAGTATCTGAGTGCTTGTCTGCTGTTGTACTGTGTTATGTCAAAATTCATCTAGAGGAGCCTACCTACAGAGGTAGATGTGAAAAGCAGTAACCCATTTCCAGGTTCACTGAGCTTTTTACTGTATCTACTTTTGGTGTAGACTGAATAAATTCAAATCTAGAATTCCTGAAGTTTCCACTCAACCCCATAAGAAATGGGCCAGTGGTAGTAACACATGTAACAGATAGGGTTTGCTTCTGATACATTCCCCCTTTCCTGCCTTTCTGGAGAGTGAAGTGATGACTTGTGTATGTAGTTACAGTCTGCTCGGGAGAAAAGATTTTTGGTTTGTTATTAACGTTTGCTAATCAGTCTCTGAGACCTTCCAGAATGTCAGCTTTCTCTTGTTTCTATTCCATGACAAGTGACGTGACCTGCTGGTTTAGCAGTGATTTAGCTGTAGAATACAGGAAATCCAAAAGGCAGCTAAATATTCAAGTGTGAGAAAAAGCAAAGGGAATGGTGATTCTTTGGATGGTATTAGTTGGTGATGGGTTAAATAATAAAGTGGCTGCTGAAGTATATTGAATCATATATATTAGCAATTAAAGCAAATAGATCATATAGAGTGCATTTACACGATAAAGATTCGTCACTAGACCTTCTGTGAGAGAAATGTTTTGATACATGTAGTTTATCTCTTATTGTGCTAGTTTTTAGACCAAGTATGACACTTACTAAGTGGATTAAAAAGCAGTAGAAAGGATGTTATTCTTAATACCTGGTAAGTATCACCTTGTTTGCGTACTAGAAAGCATGAACATATTTACTTGCTGTTCAACAAACCAGTCCAGATTTTTAATGACATTTTGCTTTTTTTCTGAGTGCCATAATCAGGAGCAGCAAACAGAACTCATATCAAATACTCAGTCCTTATGGCATCGTGCAAGATTTAGTTCTTGCTTACCTTCCATTCTTAATTCCTCCTCAAAGAAAACGTAATACAACCAGAGGAGAGAGATGGGTAGGTAGCAGAGATAGGTTTCCGATGCTGATTACATGGGTTGCTTGGTAAACTGGGACAAAGGGAATATTCTGTTTTGCTCTAGGATTAGAAAGGTCCCACAGGCCTTGCATTTTAGGGTGGTGGTGTCCAGTCTGGGAACTGATGCTGGGCAGCAGTTGAGGGTGCCTCTTGTTGGGCAGTGGTATGAGTATTTTGCAAGATCTTTCACCTTGTAACATGGATAAAAGTTGTATGGGATTCAGGGAAGAGTCGGGAGAATACTGGAAATTGGAAATAGTGCTTCATAATGAGAGATTTTAAGGACTTGGTCTGTTTAATTTCTTGAAGTAAAATGCAGTGTAATTTTTTTGTGTGAGACTGCAAATGGGAAAGTGGGCATAAACTAGAACTCAGTCCAACAGTTGTGTAACCCTAACATTCAGTTCCTGCATTTGGATTTGGAAAATTTAGAGAAGAAATCCACGGCCAATTCTTAAGTTGAGATGAGTAGCACTTTTCTTAATATCTATTAAGAGAATGCATTGAGTTAAAAAAAATGAAGTCAAAGAAAGGATCAAATGTGGAATAGTGTGGGTTGCTTTCTCACTCGGAGATATTTACCACGAAGTTCTGCATAGTAGGTGCTTCTGAGATACCACGGTGGGATTTGTGAACACTGAAAGAGAAGGGAATTTAATGGTGCTCCTCAAACCAATTTGTAGTAGCAATGTATGACTGTTGATTTTTCACAGGATTGCTTTTCTTTTCCAGCTTAACCCGAAAGGCAACGTACAGTACTAAATGCACATTTTTATGGCACTGCGGAGCACAGAAATGTCTGTTTGAATGTTTTATTACGAGACTGAAACAACGTGATGTCTGCAAACCTTAGGATTTATCACCATTGACATAGCCAAGACATGATTTTCAAATGAAAACAAAAGCAGTTGGTTTTCCTTTTTCAGATGTGACTTGATCATTCAGGATTGTGTGCGCTTTTACTCTGCTTTCAGAGCTCTGTCTTTATTACAGTTTTCAAAACCACTTAGAATATTTATTCCTACTATTCTGTATAGCTGGATGCTAATAAAAACTGTTGAATTTGTAGAGAATCGGTAAAGAACAATATGTGAATGAGTAACTTTTTTTTAGAATTTTGCCTATTAGCAAACTCAAGGAGGTTAAAGAAAAATCAACTTAACCAGCTTCTACTGCAAAGCTAGATAAAAGGCATTTGCTATAAATTTACCCGTTATGCAGTAGTCATGGACAGAAAAAAAGGAAAAAAAGATATTTTGTATGTTTAATGATGCTTTTTCATGTGAAGTGAGCATAGCTAAATTATAGCTATTAGGATAAAGGTTTCTGTTGCCAAACATTATATAGGAACTGAACAAAGATCTGTCATTCTTAGCTATACTTAAAACCGTTTCCTAAATTGTTTTAGCCAGACGTTAATTTCAGATTTTTTATGGGTATGTCTTCCAGCAAAAGTATGATCTTCATCCTTCACTGAAGCTTGTAGGGAGGGGTAGAAGGGGAGAACTGTGAGGTATTAAGTTTGAAAATATTAGTTCACAAAAACATTAAACGCAAGTCTTTTTCTAAGCAGGATACTAGAATCCAGTCAACTAAAACTTTTTTGGATTTTGTATGTGTGTGTGTGTCTGATACGAATTGTAGTGGGAGCTCAGAATTGGTTCAGTGGCTACAAAAATGTATTTTCATAGAGGTGGCATATGTTCTTCATGATTCAGGTCTGACAAGCTTTCATGGAAAGTAGTTGTATGCTTTAGATACCTAGATGTTCTTAAACACTCACTAAGCAGGGCAACAGCATCTTTGCCAGCGGGGTGGCTGACCTGGTAAGGAGGGCTCTAAACTAGGGGCAGCGAGGAAGTTACCAGCAGCCCCGTGGGGCAGTGATGGACAGGGTTGACAAGCAAAGGGCCTGCAGTGATGTGAAGGAAAGGGAACACAGAATCAAATAAATGGGTTTTAACTGGTGTCACCTCAAGCATTTGCATGTAAGCAAAGAAGTGCCTATAAGGCGCCCTTATGGAAAAAGCCATGAGACTTTGGGGAAAATCAGCATGCTGGGGCACCTCTACAGGCACACTGAAGTGTCTGTACACTAACGCACGCAGCACGGTGAATCAACGTGAGAAATTGGAGATCGGTGTGTTGCTGCAGGGTTAGTGTCTTGTAGGGATCACAGAGACGTGGTGGGATGGCTCCCACAGCTGGAGTCCTTCAGTGGAGGGACGCAGGCTCTTTAGGAAGGACAAGCTGGGAGGACAAGGAGGTGGAGTTTCCCCTGATGTGCGAGAACAGCTGGAATGCGTGGAGCTCTGCCTCGAGATGGATGATGAGCCAGCTGAGAGCTTATGGGTAAGGACTTCAGAGCAGACAGGTATGGGTGGCCTTGTATCGGGTGTCTGCTATAGGCTGCCTGACCAGGAAGAACAAGGGGGTGAGGCCTTCTATAGAGAGATAGGAACAGCCTCACACTCGCAGGCCCTTGTCCTCATAGGGGACTTCAGCCACCCCGGTATTTGCTGGTGGGACAACA